ATGGATTATAGGTAATCGATCAAACTGACTCTCGTGGTAATATTTATTTTTAGAAAAAGAAAAACGGAATACGGATAAAAAACCGCATTCCGTTTTCCTTTTTCTAAAAATAAATATTACCGCGAGAGTTAGTTTGATCGATTACCTATAATCCATCAGTTTTCAAGGCTAAAAATAGTCGCCAGGTGCCAGTCCTGAAGCTCGTAGCAATTCCGATAAAACACCCGAACCGCGGAAAATCAAGGTCTCGCTTGACTCCGGCTTTGACGAAGAGTCCAAGGACTACCACCCCATGGAAAAGAATCAATACAATCTTATTTAAAAACGTTTACACACAATCTGGTTTTTCAAAGATCTCCTAGAGAACCTGTTTCAGAAAAGTCTTTTGCTAGCGGAAACACGTCCCAAAGTCTCTTCTTACGTGCGGCGAAAAGCGAAGCTCTCTAGCAGCTTTCTATCAAAAGTTACTCAAAAGATAGCCACGGCTCTTATAATTTGAAAAGGATAGTAGTCATTAGCCACAGCCCTGTATAGAAGGCTAGCCTAACGCAGGGTTCTTTCTCGCAATTACTTGAGCTCCACATACACACTCACTAATTACGTACTAGATTTCCCGAGAGCTAGGCGAACTAGATAGAGGAGCTATATTGTACGTGACAACATAGCCAGTAAGCGATGCTGTCCTCACCTGATTGGAAAGTCTCTTTGCTATTCAAATCTTTCTTCAGATTTGTTCTAACTATTATGGTCGAGGAGAAAAACTAAAAATAAAGGTGGGCCAATAACTTTGATTGCCGCCGCTTTAAGCCAGAAAGAGTGTTAGTTAACAAATGAAAAATTATGAAAGTTTGAAGTATTAATCGATATCTCAACGTTTATTTTTTTCAACCCATATTGATTTTTACTGCTACTTTTTGTAGAAGACGAATTCTCGGTCGTACACTCATAAATGCTCCCAGACTAATAGAGTGTATGCAGACTTTGGATTAACAACTAAAGCAGAATTAAATTGCATGAAATCTTAATATAAGTATTAATGTCTGTAATACAATGCATGAGGAATAATCTCAAAATTTATATAAAATAACGGCTTTAGGAAATTTACATATTTTTCATTGCTTGATAATTCAATGGTTGACGCATGTTTGTTTATTCACTATTCAGACGTGTGCACGAAAATTGCATATTTTATTCTAACTAGGCGTTAGTTACTCTCGGGAGTCCCTTTCGTACAACACGTATTTGTCAAATTATTTTTGAATAAACGTTAATTTACATTAAGAAATATGATTCATGTTTTTCGTTCATGTTTAGAATTAAACATTGTTCAGCGAATAACACTTCTTCAGGTAGTCCTTGTTCATCTCCGACAGTTCCTAAAAAAGAAATGACATTTACAAAATTAACAAATTATGTTGTCAAAACTGATCATCATTGTAACTCGACTCAAGACAATTCACTAACTGATCAACAATATCCCTATTCCATTGCTCCTTACGTTTCGCCAACAACTAATATTACACCATCATCTGCGTCAACAAGTTCAAATATAACTAATAATGGCACAACAACAAATCATTCCTATGATTCTCATTCTCTTCATCAACGTCAATTATCTGTTCGTAATACGTCAACATCGACAACATCAAATCCAGTTCAAATGGATCACACATCGCCACTACAACATCAACAATATAATAATGAAAATCAAATACTAGCCACAACTACTTCACATATTCAACAGCAGCAACCACAATTATCGAATAATAATATTTTATCAACATCAAATAACAATAGTAATAATATTTTATCGTCTCAAAGTCAAAATATGAATTTTGTCTAAGTATGAATTTTGAAAATTACTCAAATTTGAACATTGACCATAAATATGTCCTTTCTTTTATTGTTTTTAGTAGTTGAAAGTGATAGTTCACATTCAACACAGACATCTCCACCTCAACATGGTGTAACACCTGAAGCCACAAAAAAATCGTTATTTCATCATATTATCGATGCTATGCAAGAAGATCATCAGATGATTGTTGTTAAAGATCGACCATTAGCCACAATTAAAACAGATCTTATACATGCATTTCTCTGGGCATGTTGATTTGTTGAAAAAAACTTTAAACATATTTTTATTCTATGCTAACTATATTAGACACCTGATCTTGTTCATAATATTTTATCTGGTACACAATTTCTTTGTGAATATCGTCGACCAGATCGTTCATCAATGTTTCAACGTAATATTCCATTTCATATTGAAATATGTACAGTGAAAGCAAACGATGTGTTGACAAATGATAGTTGTTATGTTACATTTACACTTATTACTAGTACTGTTTATATACCTTTGTTTCGATCATTTAGTATTACATACATTCTTCTTTACTTTTGTAGAACAAGCAAGACGTTTCAAAAAATTATGTGAAGAAATTCAAGTATTATTTCTAACAAACAAAGAACGTTTAATAAAACAACAACAACGAAGACCTATAGATAAAGATCATATTGCAGGCGGACATTTAAATAATACTAATCTGCCAGTAACTACAACAATTTCCGCTAATACGACCACCACCACCACCACTACAACAACAACAAATCGCACAAACGTGCCATCTTCCACTTACAACAATAATGGATCATCATTAGTTTCTATTAGTAAGTGATTAATTTTCTATCGTAGAAATTATTTCAATTCAATATAAATAATTTGATGCAACGAGAACTAACGAGTTTTATAGTGAGATAATGAAGTATAAAACTGCTATAAACATGATTAGTTAATCATGTTTATAGCCTAGTTAATCATGTTTATAGCAGTTTTGTACTTCATTACCTCACTATTTAAATCATCAACTGCTCTCTTTCCTAACTTTGTAACGAGTTTTATGTTTCTCGCAGCTAAGATTACATTCAAGCGTCGATATTTAAGTTTACTTCTTACTTTGTTTTAGATACTAGTAAAGATAGTTCCATATCATCTTTATCCTCATGTTCAAATGTATCGTTAACGAGTCCACCACAATTACAGCATCCATTATTTTCGCCATCTTCACTCGTTACTACCGTACCTCAACAACAAACAACCATAACTGTTGCTTCAGTATCTAGTATATTGGCATTTAAAGATGACGTTTCTATTTCAGATATATCTCAGATATCACCACCGTGCACTGCATATTTGATGAATAATATACAATCAACTACAGCATCTTCCGCACCTTCTATGCCTGTTTTAACACATCAAGCAGCGACGTCATCCTTACAGAAAGACAAAATTGCTCATCGATTTGTCATCTAGTCAAGCTTATTTTATTTGTTATTGTTATTGTTTTTCTTTTTCTCTTTTTAATGTTGTTAGTACATTGTCTTTCTATCTCTTTTTCTATTCGTTTAATTGAAACAAATTTGTATGTGCAATCTCATTTTCCTCTTATCTGACGATTTCACATATATCTACATTATCAACAAGAAACAGTTGGCGTACCTATCCACTCATAGACAAACAGCACATTTTCTGTGTGTTTGTCATTTTATTTTGTTTTGCTTCTCTTCACACACACACCTAATCTTAAAAAAAAGACAAATAAATTTTTCTGATTGTAATATTCTAGTCAAATAGTGATATATATATATATCAAATCGTTTATGTATATCAACGATTGTAGAAATATGACAAGACATTTCTGTTTTTTTTCTTTCCTTTATTAATGAATGAAATATGTAAACTATGACGAAATAAAATGACTATACGAATAATTCAGATAAAAATCTTTTACAGGATGATTGAACACAGGAAAGTCTATTGACGACCGATTAGTTTCTCCTAGTGTCTTCATTTTTTAGACTGTAGAGATCATTAACCTTGTCATCCTAAGGTATTGAATAAAGTTTAAAAGACTAACTATTTTCTAATCTTTATTAATTTTTGCTGCATACATGAATCAAATAAATAAAGCAAATAAATGCAAGACAAGATATAAATATACAGATATGTAGGG